TAAGACTTTTTTCTTAGAGTGCATGCACCTCGAATTTTTAGAGCGCAGTATCGTACTTAATACCATGATTTAAAGTCTTCAGATTTCTAGACTTAAAACCTGCAGATGACAGATTTGGATATCGCAAAACACAACAAAATTTTACTCTTAGGATGCGGGGAACTCTAATCTTTAGAGCGTGGATATCACAACGAACACCACGGTCTAAACACCCAGGACATAGATGTTAGGGAGACTTAAGTTTGGATATCGCAACAAACACCGAAATTATTTACGTTAGAGGATAGTGGAAATTTGAATGTAATTATGGTTGTCGCAAACCCCAGTTGTATTCAAAGATATATTGTTCTACAATTTAAAATTGACTTTGTTAGTTTTTCTACTCTCCCTTTATATAATTTTGAATTGATGTTTACACTAGACAAAATATTACTCTTCGACGGCTTGTCAAAAACTAAACTGATTATTTTTTTTTTTGGTCCGGTAGATGGAAATGATCAAAAATATTATCAAACTATAGTTTATCTGTCAAATCGTGTAAAACAGCTGTTAATTTCAGGGCTGTTTCATCTTGCTACTCAGGCAAGATATCTAGCGTGTTATAAATTAATCTTGTGTTATGCATTTTGCCTTAGATTAACCAATAGAAAATGAAAATTGCACAAAAACCTGCATTAAAAGAGCATCTCAATTGAAAAAATTACCCTAGATTTACCCTAAATCGAAAATGCCATAATATTTCATAAGGTGTAATATTGTAACTCATACGCCATGTTGTACAATTTGCAAGATAAGCAAAATATAGTTACTTAATTACAACAGCAAATTAAAAACAATCTATCTTAATTACAAAAAGGGTTTGTAAAATTCAAAAATTTTTATAATTATACTTGATACTATAATATAGTTAACACCGCACTAACTACTTTATATTTGAATTGATAATAGAAATGTGATGTGGAACTTATTGCAAACAAAACATTATATTTTAGTTTGATGATATTTTTGTATTTATTTTCATTGACATGATTTATTGCTAATGAAATTGTATTTTGCACTATGACAGATGTCAATCTAAAGTAACATAACCGAATAGTTGGCAATGTAACCTTTGTGTACAAATATTAATTTGCTGTAAAATACATAAATATACTTGTTCAAATATGTCAACAATAAAATAGCTCATTAAATATATACGAAAAGATTGTGAGTGTAAAACCAATATTGATATAAGTGCAACTATGAATAATGATCATTGGCGAATGTGAAATCCATAACCGGAGTAACTTAATGCCAAAAATACATAAACAATGGTGGCAGCAAAATGGTTAACCTCAGAGTAGCGGAGCAGCTGTTTTATGTATATTCGAACTCCGATATATTACAATAGGCACAGTATATTTCAATCTATTGGAACTGACATTTTCAATTCATTCGCTGCCATTCAATGCAAAATAATTGGAATTGATTTTATTTAGTTGAGTATAAGAACTGCAGTGTTGATTGAATGAATTTTTCTTTTTTTTTTGCGAATGTATTTATTTTGTGGCAGTGAAATGCAGTTTTGGTTGCATTTAAAAACAATTTCTCTACTCATTTGGGCTTAATGGAATTTCTTTGTGTATTGCGGTAAATTGTTGAACCAGATTGCTATTTTTTTCCCACCAAAATATTGTTTGTTTAACTTAATAAATTACAATAATGCTATATGTTGTTTTAATATTTTTATTTTGATTGATTGCTGATTCATTGGAATTTGTAAACGGATTCATTGAATAAACATTTTTAAAAATATTTGTTTGCAATTTAAATAACAAATATTTAAATTTATTGTTTTATTTAGTATCGATAATATGATTTTGATTACTATTAGAAAGATAAAAAATTAAACTCAAAAAATACCAGTGCTATACTAGATTATTTTATACTTAAATACAGACATTTAAAAGAAAATGTACATAGAAATATAGAACATACAAGTATTGGTTTAAAAAAGTATATATAAAAAGTATATATAACATAAAAGTACTGTTTAATAAAGTATATTTAAAGAAGTTTATATAAAAAGTATATGTAAAAATTATATATAAAAAAGTATATATAAAAAGTATATATAAAAAGTATATAGAAAAAAGTACATATAAAAAGTCTATATAAAAAGTAAATATAAAAAAGTATATATAACATACAAGTATTGGTTTAAAAAAGTATCTTCTACACGATACTTAAAGTAAAAAGAATAATCTGAAGTATACAAAGGTGTTATTTAAAATTAAAAATAATATATATTAGCCGGATATTGTAGCTTTTGGATTTATTACAGTGAAGAGAAGTTCATAAATATATATTTAATAGTACAATGTCATCAAAAGTTCTATTAATAAAATGGTCTTTCGACAGTTTTTTTGGGACTTTCTTGCGCACAATCCTTTACTTACCGCTGTTGTTAGGGCACCGTATTTTCTCTTATTGCATGGTTGGCTGAGTTTAGTTCTAGTGTTAACTGAAGTTTATAAGGATAAAAATATAAAATTATTTTCAAAATATCCCAAAATGTTGTTCTTCTTTAACACTTTCACTACAGTAGCAATTTTCTACAGAACTTGTGTTTTGTTGATATCTAGGCCTTAGCATAACTGCTAAAAATTTAGTTTCTTGTTAGGAATCTTGCCTCAAATGCACTAAGATGGACTTTTCTGTCGACTATAATCTTTTTGAACTTTTGTACGTTACTGATAAGAGTGTACGTTACTTTAGTATTGAAATAACTTCTAAAATATATTTATGGACTCAATAAAAGTTACGTAAAGTGCATTCAACTACTTATTATTATTACAACAAAAATTGACTCTACAAATAAAAGAGTATTGAAATTTAACAATTTGTTTCAATATAAACACAGCAATTGAATTTGATAATAAAACTTTCACAGCAAATAACAAAATTCCAGAAAACAATAATGTTAAGTGAAGCTTTGGGCCAGTTGGTTAAGCCGCGCTGACTCTGTGCTCCAAATTTAGCAGGGCACGAGTTGGATACCTGCTACTTGCAATCTCAAGAACTTATTTACAAATAATTAAATATAAAAATTATTTGCAAGACCACTGATGATGGGTATTTGGCAATATACGAAACAGTTGTATGGTCAGCCAAAAATGCAATTAATAAAAATTGTATAAAAAAGAACTGTCGTTGTTGTAGTTCACTACTTCTCCAAAACCTCTTTATACAATTATTTATTATTTTTATATATTATTTATTATTTGTTATTACTATTATCATTATTATGATTAAATAACATTGTTACACTTGGAAATGAATTACTACTATCTTGTATATATTAAATAAAATATATATATAACCATATGTCTTTTATCTATAAATTTTAACTGTAATATCATATTATCAATAGTATATTAAACATACGAGCAAAAAGTACAAAAATATTTTATTCGCTGTGGCTTATGTTTCTTATACAGTAATTTATTTCTAATATGAAATACTGCTTATATTATTCTGAAGTTTTTATTATAAGGAACATTGGTATTAACTATAATAAATAAAATAGATATAAAAGACACACAAGGGAATACTGATTTTAGTTTTGGTGTGGAATATTTGAGGGTAGATTAAGGAGGGCTTATAGTACGAGGAAATAAATTTATTTACAAAATTTATGAGCGTGACAGAAATTTTAATTTGAATATACGTTAAATTCAACAGTTATATAAAAGAGCCCAGTATTTGTTATATATTTTTAGAATGAAACAAGAAAATAACTCAATGGAAATATTTCCAAAAAAATTTCTTTGATATTTTGCATATTTTTCAGCTTCTTTCACAATCAATTACAGGAAATATTTTATTATGAAATTTTATTCAAATGTTTCTTACAAATGTTAAAATTGCATTAAATTAAGCTTATCAGGTAAACAATTTTATACAAGAATGCAAATAAAAAATATTTTTAATAAAAAGCAATTTACTGTTCATCCTATCTAATATCAGATATATATAAATATATGTAAGTAAAATGTATTTATACATAAGATATTTTATAGCTAATATACATAAAGTGACTATAGTAACCTCATAGCAAAGTTAATTGTCGTAAAAACGTTTGTATATTTACAATTTATGAGAAAATTATTTATGCCATGTACTATACTTGTATGCACATAGTTATAATTAACACAATGTCTCAAGCAAACATAAAATATTTTATTTATTTTTCTATTTGAATTTAAATTTAAATATTTGTTTATTTTCATCAACAGTTTTTATAAAACAAATAGTTAATAAACTTACATTTTTATACACTCATAAATGCTCTACAGCTTTTTAAAGTTTCTTTTTTAAATTTTCATATATAGATACATGTGGTATAAGTGAATACATGTTTCTGTGTATTTATGGATATATGAAAATATATACATAAATATAACGATGTATTGTCATTCAGCTATTCTGTGGCCCTTACATTCTACATGTCATAAAGAGCAGTACATGCAAATTAACCAATGGAAGTCATCAAAATAAACTAAAAAATTATTTAAAAATATCGATAAAAGCTCTATGGGGAATTCATAAAGATTTTGCCACAATTTTTCATAGCAAACTCCACCCGGAATACAATTTTTTGTTCATTTTGAGGGATATACTTTATTTATTCAATTTACCCATTGGTGCACTTTTATATAGTAGAGCGGTTATAAGTAAAAGTAGAAATATTGCACCAAAGTAATCAACCTCAATTAAGTGTTTTTTGTAGGTTTTAACAACTTTTTTAATAATTTAAATTGTTATAAAGGGCAATAGCTTTAAGGGTCACGTAATATTTTAAATATTGGGAACTGAATTCATGTTATAAAGTCTCAAACAAATTTAATTAACT